TGGCCATAATTTATGCATTACGACGTTTCCGTATATATTTAGAGGGTATTACATTCAAGATAGTTACAGATTGTAACTCCTTAACAATGACACTAGGCAAGAGGCAAGTTAATCCTCGAATTGCAAGATGGGCGCTGGAACTAGAGAATTACGATTGCCACATACAGCACAGGGGAGGGGCTTCTATGGGTCATGTCGACGCTCTCAGTAGATTTCAAATTGCTTCCATTCTTGATGCCGGTGATGTTGATTCTCTAATCCAGGTTACCCAAGAGCGAGACGACGTAATTAAGAATTTGAAGATTCAGCTAGAGAATTCGCAACTTCATGGTTTTGAATTAATTGAGGGACTTGTTTATCGAGTAAGAAAAGACGGACGAAAATTATTATACGTCCCGCACGAGATGGAGCAGAATGTTATACGATTAATTCATGAGAAGATTGGTCATCAGACAGTTGAGAAGAGTTACGACAAGACAAGAATTTATTACTGGTTTCCAGATATGCGAGAAAAGATAGAACGTTTCATTCAAAATTGTATAAAGTGTATCATGTATGTAACGCCTGTCCGAGAAACAGAGCGGAATTTCTATAATATAGAAAAGAGCCCAGTGCCGTTCGATTCGTTACACATAGATCACTTTGGACCATTGCCATGTATTAACTCGAAAAGGAAACACATTCTTGTGGTTATTGACGCATTTACGAAATTTGTTAAGTTATACCCGACGAATTCGACTAGCACGCGTGAGGTCACTAATATTCTTGATAAGTACTTTAACTATTACAGTAGACAAAGACGTATCATAACTGACCGTGGAACCTGTTTTACATCTCTGGAGTTTGGATAGTTCTTATTAAAGCGTAATATATCACATGTTAAGGTCGCAGTTGCATCTCCTCAAGCAAATGGGCAGGTGGAAAGGGTTAATAGGGTAATTAAAGCATTGCTAGGAAAGGTAAGCGATTCGATTAGTCATGCTGATTGGGCAACTAAATTGGGAAAAGTGGAATATGCCATTAACAACACCTTTCACAGTGCCACTCAGAACACTCCTAGTATGCTGTTATTCGGAGTTGAACAACGGGGAGAAGAGATAGACGAATTAACTGAGTATTTGAGTGATAAAAATAATCTAGAGGGTAATCGGGACTTAGCATTAATTCGAGCAAATGCAGCAAAAGCAATCGTTAAATCGCAAAATTATAATTTGAGTTATTTTCTGAGACATAGCAAGCCTGCCAAACTGTACGATGTTGGCGATTTTGTTGTTATCCGAAATGTGGATACTGCGATAGGAACAAATAAAAAATTTTCCCCTAAATATAAGGGACCGTATGTCGTTCATAAGATTTTAGGAAACGACAGATATGTTATACGTGACATCGATAATTGTCAGCTAACTCAGTTGCCGTATGATGGTGTAGTCGAAGCTAATAGAATGCGTAAATGGATGTTGAAATCTGATGCGCTCAATACAGACGTGGATAATATTAATAAAAATTATCGTAATAATGAATTAAATGTAGATAACGATGAATCGCGGGTAGGTTTTTGTGATATTATACTTAATGACAATGCTAAGGTTAAAAATATTCTGGTTCCAAGTGGACTTTTTGTCGTAAATTGATCGAGGTCGATCAAATGTCAGATTGGCCGAGATGTGAGTAGGGATATTCACTTAGTTTAGATATACTTGTTGTAAGTTTTAAGTTTCATTATTGCTAATTGTTTTATATAAATTCAATGTAAAAATGAAAAATTATATTCATTCTGAAAATTACTTTTTCCAAATAAAAATAGCTTAAGAGAGCATATTGTAAAATATATAAAATCGTCTCTTTTTCTAATATCCTTACTGTCGGTCAATTTAGTTCTTATATGTGATAATTCATGATTATTATAATAACGTTAGAAATATGGAAAATACAGAGTATGCATAAATTAATGGGTATATAAGAAAGGAGCTTTCTATTAAGCGTACTCTTCATGCAAGAATGCATATAAGAAAGAGTTTTCGTGAGATTTCTATTTTTCTTATATGTATGCAATAAGTACTGTAAATCAAATGGTTCCTCGACGATTTTTAATTTATTGGCACATTGACTTGCATTTAGGAAAATTTTTCCGGAAATATTTAGAACATTTTAAATTTGGATTTTCCATCACTGATTCCTACATATAGGCAGTGTTGCCGTTGGATATTTTCAGAAAGTCGCAAAAAAGGGGTCATTGACCAAAGAGAGGGTCACCATATTATTTTTGCTTTTCTTGACTAGTAAAATAATAAATCTGTTGAATTTAAAAAGAAAAGAGCGATACAAACTTTGCACAAAATAGGATTGCAAGCATACACATAGATCTAGTTGCTGCAAGGAGAAGAGTTGCATTTCCTTTGAAAGTTTTAATTGATGCATTTTTTCGTACATACATATATGTATAGGAGGAAATATTTTTTAGTAGCATTGTTCTGATAATAATTCGTAAAAAAATCTTAGAAAAATTTTCAAAAAGTCGGGTCAAAGGGTATTGGCTGTTAAAAAGGGCCAAATTGGCCCTTTAAACGTACCACGCAACACTGTATATAGGTACAAGCCAAGGCTCATAGAATAGAAGGTTACGACATGGTGCTGTCAAAAATTTGGCTTCCTCCAGTGACATAGTTGCGAAGTGAGTTCTGATTGGCTGAAATATTTTACGAAGAAGGAGAGTACACAAAACACAGAAATTATAATTGCCTTATCAAATCGTGGCAAAGCTTATTATAACAACATAAAATGTTATAACTTCACGTGAAATTGGATTAACATAATAATATTCGTACAATAGTGACAAATGAAATGTAAGTCGAATGCTTATTGAAATTTGCTGGTGATTTAATTCTTGAAAGTGAGCAGAACGCACTCACGCATTTTTAAATAAAAAGCGTTTATAACATTGGCAAAATTTCGCTACCGATATTGCAATTCATCTTTAGAGATACGGTAAAACCTGAAATTATCTTTTTCAGCGTAATTTCCGCAATCAAAAACAGCGCACTTAAATTTTTAATAAATTAAATAAACTCAAAGACGCAGAAAAATGCATTAACGTCAACGCAAATTGTCAAACGGTAAATATCAGGGTTACACATATTTGAAATAAAACGTGATATATTTTTGACTAAAATAGTGTATTTTTAAAGGATAATTTTTTTAGGAATCTGGCAACTCTAAAAGTTGAGCCATCTACGTCATCAAGATGGCGGCCATGGGCGATGTCGTAACCTTGTATTCTATGAACCTTGGGTACAAGCCGAATGCATGTGCGCAGTTTGCATAATCGGAAGTAATAATCAATTGTACCGCATTTCCTCTTACTATGCATATGCCTAAATCCATGCAACCAAGTACAATAGCAAGTAAACACAGGATGCTTCTAATGAAATTAAAAATTTTCTGCTGAAATACACAATTTGGAATATTGGAAACAACCGTACCATGCTGTACACAGAGAAAATTATACAGGTAAAACGCAAGTTTTTAAAAGAAATTGTAAAATAAAAGTTTTTGAAATAATTTTACTTCATACAAAATAAAAAATACAGTATTTGTATTTACGACTTTAAAACGAAACATTCGCGAAACAAAAACGATCGTTATAATATATTCACTTTTTTACTGAGGAGAACAGACAAAATTAAAGAAATAACGGAAAAAATGCGTATTTTCAAAATTAAAATGAAATATTTGAGGATTTTCTCCCAACGAATTGTAGTACGACACAATTTTCAACAAGTAAAATAAAACTATAAACTTTTAAAATAAAAAATTTAATTTACTTTCAGTCAATTAAGTATGAAAAATATTTAAAACTAAAATGTTTTGCATTAGAATTTATAAAGCTACCTAGCTATAATGAAAAACATTTCATATGTTTGCATCATTTGTCGAAAAAATTATGTTGATATAAATAAGTTACTTCAATCTTCAAAAAATGTGATGAAGTATATACAAACAATACCGCCATTCTAACCACCTACATGGAACGGACATTGGTGATAAGGTGGACTTATGTATGTATGTATATAGTATTTGTAAAACATCTGAATTTTATTTATTAAATTTTGTAACTCATTTATAAGTATATATTTATAAGTATATATGGGTGGTTTCGCAACCAAATACACGTTTATATATCGAACGAGGACGCAAGAGTCGGGATTGAGTATAGCCATGCAACTGTAACTGCATACCCAGCGCAACGACTATACCCCATTGCACTCCAGTATTATGTTTAACGTGAATAAATGGAGCCGAAATACCAACCTCTTTGAGCATTCTAATGCGTTTTAAGCTTGTCTGAAAGGAAAATAACGCTTACCTTTTGCAAGCGAAATCTCCTGTGGAATGCTTTATCTCACAGAGCATTATAATGATCACTTCGCTCCGCTGTTGATATATTACAGAAATCTGAGTTGACGTAATCAATGGTTTCCTCATCATCGTCAGAATGAACCAATTCGTCCATCTTTTCATTTATTTTTATTTTTTATTTTATTTTATTTTATTTTTTTTTCTAGTTTTCGGCTGAACTGACACAAACTTAACTATTTAACCCTCAAAATTTCCTTAGTTAAACATTTAAGTTTTTATCTTTGAGTTAATGCCTAACCTACTGTTGTGCAAGCCAATTTATCAATTTAACCGTTAAACTTCGAGTTAAATAGATAACCTGCTGTTCTGCAAGTGGGCCTTAGAGTACAACATACAATCTACAACCAACTATAGATTAACATTTTACATTACGAAGTTCCTCTCGTTGAAGGTCTTTTCGGTCTTATAAGAGTTGATTAGACAATTTTATAGAGCAAAATGAAAGAGTATTTCGTCGGCAAAACGTTCTATG